AGAAAAAATAATGTTCTCCTCCTTGGAGGCTAAGGCATCCGCCACGTGCCGTTGCGTGCTTACCGCGTCTTTGTGCCGGAGCGCGTGGATGTCTCCCTTGAACCCGTGAGGGTCCACCTCACGCACCAGGTGTCCAAAGTCTCGTGCCGCCGTCAAAAAGGACGGCGCTCCCAGCACAAAATCCCTCACGACGGGCGTGAAACCCACTAGCCGCCGCAGCCCACCGGCATGTGTCTTGCCGTTGGCGGCTGCACGCGCTAGTCTACGCACAATAATGCCGCTACCCTTATGCACCCTGTTCCCGCAGTCGCTAGCGGCAGTGAAACGAGGGCAAAACATGTGCATCCTACTGGTTCGTTGGCCAGCGTGGGAGAAACAAAAAAAAAAAACGTGAAGGAAAAAAAGGTCATGGAGGCTCACACATGTCCATTTTCCGGGTTTTTTTTTGGTTTGTACACGTCTCAAGGAGACATAAAAAAAAAAAACCGTGCTGCAGGGAGAAGCCGCACCTGGAGTCAGAGCGGAAATGAGGAGAAAGGATAGCAAGGGCGGGGGAGTAGGTGCGCCCGCGCCCGCACGCACTAATCATCCCCCTCCCCTCACGGGCGCCACGCCCAGCACAGCCGCAGAGCGACAAGGAGAAAATCAAATTGAGAAATGCGGAGAGAAGATGCGCGTAGTGGCCGCAAAGCAAGCACATATCGGCATGCCCACGAGGACGCCAGCTGCAAGGCAACCACCACCCAACCACCCCAACACATACATATACACACACGCAGCAGTGAGAACGGCAAGTTGCTGTGTAGTTTCCCTCCGCCTTATTCCTTCTTTCATTGCAGGTTTGTTATGGTGTTTTCGTTATCCAAACTTCAGCTCGTCTGCGTTTTGAGCCTCATGCAGCCCCTCAGTACTCCGCACCTGTGGCAGCGCCGGCAGCAGGCGCTCTACGCATGGAGCAAAGATGTGAACAATGGCCGCGGCAATGAGTACGCTCGCGATGGGGGAAAATAACATCGCCTCTCTCTACGGTCTGAAAATCCATGCGTCCCCCAGGAGAGTAAGACCGGTTCCTACCAGGCACAACTGTGGAAAAAGTAGCGCAAAGAAAAAAAAAGAAGAGAAGTTGCGTGCACGCCGCCCAGCCAATCTGTCGCATGGGCCGCCACACCTCAGGGGCTCCCATCGATGCACGTCAAAGCAGACTCACACGCAGACACACACTCACACACACGCAGACACACTCACACACACCTCAATCCACGAGCCCTCTATCTCCCGTCGCTTCGGCAAGGCGGACCCCGGTGAGCGGAGGCCGCACTACTAGTCAGAGTCACTGTGGCTGAGACGGTACAGTTGCCGACGCAGCCGCTCCCTCTCAGCTTCCGCCACCTGCCTGCTGCAAAGTATCTGAGGCAGCCAACTCTCCTCCAAGCTTGACTGCAGCAGCAGAAGTCGCCCTTTGCTCATCTCCTCCAGAAGAAAGGCAACTAAATTCACGGCGTAGCGTGTCAGGCACAGCTCCAGCAGCACGCACAGGATACGCGGCAGTGCAGCATAAAAGCCAAGGAAGGAGCCACCCGCAGCGCCACCCCCGTCGCGCAGATTACTGCCTGGTGCTAGCGCCTTGTACCGTTCCCGCCAATTTCTATGACGGTCTAACACGCCACTCTCCTCGTTGTAAAGCCGCCAGCCGTAAAAGCGAAGAAAAACCACGTAACTGTAGTGTATGCGATCCATTATGCTGGGATGGCGAAGCTGTTTGTAGTCCTCCCACGTTACCGGCCGCTGGAGTTCCCAATCAGAAATCAAAGAGCTCGACGTACACTCCCCGTCCACTCCCATGCTGGCGTAATCCTCCTCCCTTTCTGTACACCTCCCCGTCGTCACACCAAACTGCAGCGACGGCATAAGCAACCAGAGCAGCCGGTTCCAATTCAAACGCAGCAGCTCAATTCCATCGGAGCTAGACAATCGTGCTGACTGTTCTTCCTCTGAAAAGCCTGGCCCGTTCTGGCACGGCGGCAAAAGTGCCTGATGAAGAGCAATAACCCGCAGAAAACTTGTGTCATGTTGCGCCTCTCCCACCCGTTGTGGGGGTAGTCGCACCTCCACCGAGCGGCAACCGCGGTAAAATGACACGGACGGATGTTCCCGGAAGTATACCCCCGCTGCCGCTGCTTCCTCGGTCTTCTGACGCAGCGTCACAAGATAGGCCTCAAGATCATCTACCAGCTGTGGTGCTGCCTGCTCCAATGCGGGGCACTCCTGCCGGGGGTCTTGACTCACCCACATCCCGCGTCGTACTGTCCTTCTCTACGAGGTGGCACAGAAGAGTCTGTGGGCGTTGAGAGGAGTGGGAGCACCGCGGCAGACCAAGCACGGCAATATGGGGGGATCAACACCCGTGCACAACGCAGCCAACGCAATACAAACGTACGCGTACTTCAAAAAAAAAAAGGCAATGAGCGGAGCGGCGCTGCATGACGCCGAGACGCACCCAACCCATGCAACCCTGCAAACAAAAACAACACCAAACGGAGGGCAAACAAACAACAAGCAATACAATAAAAACGCGTCCTACGCTGCTGCCGCCGCCTCCTCCCTCCCACCCCGTTTACTCCAGAGCTGCTTACGCCCCGAGCGACACACACCAGCCACGCAGTGCGTGAACGTGTGAGGAGGAGACGTAAAAGAAGGAGGAACGCAGTTGGTTTACTTCGCCTTGAAGCGTGTCGGTTTCATTCGTCCGAACGAGAATCAAAAGGATGCAGCTTCGGCAGCGCCATCACCGGTCTCGCCACGGGGGCTCCACGGTAGCGTCCACGAAACAGCTCCGTGTCTCCATATGGCGCCGGTAACGAGCCCTGCAGCGGCCGCTCCCCAACGTCACCGCCACCCACCCGCCACTCAAACCCAAAGTGCAGCACATCCTTCAACTTCTTCGCCTTCTCCAACTCGTGTACATCGTGGAGCGTCCCAACCAACTTTTTGTTCACAAACAACAGCGGCAGCTCAGGGGTTTCGCTCACCTCCAGAAGCTGCCTGCGGAGCGCGTCGGCGTGAATGTGGTGGTCTAGCTGCACCACCTTCAGCCGGGTGCAGTACCAGGCCACGTAGTGGCGCAGGTGACCGGTCTCAATGGGGCGTGCGCCAACAGTAAACACCACAGCCCAGTAGCGGTCAAGATATTCCTTTAGGCGTGATGAGAAAAACGGGCGCCATCGCTCGGAAGAAGATACCGGTGTGCTGCCGCGCCACATGGACGATAGCAGAAATGCGCCCACGCACAGACACACAACACTTCAGCCGCAAAAAGAAAAAAAAACGCACAATATGTTTGGTTACAAACGGAAAAGCGAGGGAACACACACACAAAAAAAAACGAAAGAGGAAAAAGAAGGGGGGGGAGGGGGAGGAGAATCATGCAGACCTACACGCAAGTGTTTGCATGAATAGGGAGCATTCAACCGTCACGAGTAGTGCGTCCACACACCGGCAGAGGAGACGGACAGACAAACGCACGCACGTACAGAGAGAGAGAAAAAAATTGGAAAAGTGGGAAACGCAATAGACAAAAACAATAGGG